CTATTTAGTACTAACTTGTATCAGACTTGTATACCTACTATTACCTGTCTATACTGTCTGACTACCATTTACCCTCTACGTCTATATTGTAATTAGTAATGTATATATATATATATATATATATATACACACACACCTTATATTGCTTAATACTGATCATACCTGAAGAAAACAATGTTCTGTTGAAATTTTGCATGTTCTACTATCAATACGTATTGAAATCTATAAGTGTTTACATGCATATTACAGCTTAGGTTAATATTTATTGTACATGTCTCTAACAATTGTCTTTTTATGTGCAATAAGCTTTAACATCTCTAGCTAAAAATTCTGGCTTTAAGTTTAAGTCTGAGTTTAACTGGATTTGTCTTTTTATCAAATTTTTCACTTACATGATATCTGATGTGGAAAAATGGTTAAAATTAACTTAGAAGATTTATGTTAGTGTTTGCAAAATGAAGTTGAAATTTTTTTGATAGTGTCTCTAGCCTTCCAGTCACTGGGTGTCTGAAACTATTCACGCATTTGACAGGGTCATTGATTTTGTTTATGACTAATTGCTCAAGCTAGTTTACCTGTTAATGTTACTGTAACATAATAACTAAAATGTGGTTTTACACAAATAATCATGTAATATAACATGAGAATGACATTCATTAACTAACTTGTAATATTATAATTGTTGTTGTATTAGTACCACTTCTTACATTCTTAACTGCACTCAAAATTTTCATAAATTCATTTGCCATATTCTGATTTCGTGTAATAATGTAAGACACGTGATCATTGATCATCATCAGTAATTTTGACAGAATAATTGTTTTCTTCAGACATGATTAATACTAAGCAATACAAGGTTTGTTTATATTTACAAAGACAAAGATTAAGTGTGATGGAAATGGTGAAAGCAGGTGACAGGATATAGGTAAAGGCAGGGGTGAAATTAAGTACTTTCTAATCAAAATTTACAAAATATCATTCACTTTGGCTGCAGTATAATGTTTTTAAATCAATATTTGTAGCTAGAGACAGTGACAGCCTCTTCCCAGTAAAGATGGACTACACAAAAAATTGATGGAGCTGCACTCTAAATAAATCTTGTAGCTATAAGTGTTGTAGTATTTCAGAAGTGAACTAACCTTAACAGTGAGTGCTTAAAGGATAGGGCGTGGCATGGCCTAGTGGTTAAGGTGCTCGATTTGCAATCTTTCAGCCATGGGGGCATTATAATGTGATGGTCAATCCCACTATTCATTGATAAAAGAGTAGCCCAAAAGTTGATGGTGGTTGGTGTTGACTAGGTGCCATCCCCCTAGTCTATCACTGCTAAATTAGTTACAGGTAGCTGAGATAGCTCTCATGTAGCTTTGTGCAAAATTTAAAACAAACAAAAACAGTGTTAAGGATAACAAGATATATATATATATAGAAATAGTGGGTTTAACATTTGCCTATGGATGCTTATCACCAGTGCAAATAAAGAAATGGGTGAATATTAAAGTATAACATTCATTGACATAATATCAATAAAAAATGTTTTGTTTTTGCTGTTTACTTGTAAATAAATGCAACCTTTCTGATAAAACAAAACTATTACAAAATTTAGTGGTTTAGTAAAATATAATTTTTTGAATCTAGAAAAATTGTTTTGTCTAATTTAGTATAAATATGAACAAATGGAAATTTTTTTTATATACATAATAAAAAGAATTCATGGAATGTTCTGTATTTTTATTTCTTTACATTAGGGGAAAACCCAGACCAATCCATTTATGAGCTGACAGAACTAATTTTGTTTTTTAACTGAACTTTATTTTGTGGCTATTCTGAAGGATGCTTATGTTCTTGAAACCTGTTGGTTTTGATATTTGGACTACATCTATTCATAATATTGTCATTCAACAATACCATTTCACACGCGAGTAAAATGAACAAAGAAACAACAAACATGTTACTATTAAAACAAAATAAATAACAGATCAAAACCAAGTATGCTTCTTTTTTTTACTTAATCCAATTGACCCTAAATTAAAAGGTAAAATCAAATCCAACCAACTAGATACAATCCAAAAGTTCAAAACAATTCAAAAACGTTTTTTGTCGCTCTTCCTGATTGTTATGCACCCATATAGTCTGCAGTTTCTTACATTGTTAAAATAACAGAAGCAACTCATGTTTAAACTAATCAAACTGCCACAACTCAATAAATCTCACAAACACAGCATTTGACAGGTTACATAAAACATAAAGTATGCTTGGGAAGTGATATTATGAGAGGTAGTTTCTTAAAGAACATATGGTGTGGGGTAAATGTATTTTGAAAATAGTGTGATAACAAATGGGTTTATCTGTAATTGTAATATATTTTTTTTAGGTCAGTGTGAACAGTAACATATATTATTAAACAAAAAAAGATATAGAGAGAGATAGCGATTCACCCACTCAGCACTAGATAATGAAGCTGATGCTTCCATCTATTGTTTAGGTTTGAAGCAAAGAAATCAATGACATTTTCAATACTTAGTGGGAGTACTCATCTCACTTAACCCTTCACTAGTTACATGGAGTATATGTATTCTTCATTTCTGTTAGCTGTACATAAGGACTGCTTTGTAAATTTCCATGTAGCTACCAGTCAGTGTCACTGCCACTGTTCATTATAGATCAAAGTGTTGTACACCATTAAGATAAAAAAAAACAAAACATTTTGGTATATGTGTCAGGCTACAAGTATGTTAAGTGGAAACTTCAGCCTTGGAAAACCCCATCCCTCATTGCCATACTGTACTATACCACTCACAATCCAAATCATGGATTAATTAGAAATGTTATAACCATGCCTAAAACTGTGAGACTGGTGCATTTTGTTAGAATCCGGTTTAAACTTGATACTTTGAGGATCTTCCAATTTGTAGATTGTTGTGTTTATGAACTTGCCCACATGTAAAAATGAATGGAAAATTAAAATATTATCAGTGATGCTGTAAAGTTGTTTGAAACAAAATAATGAGTGCAGCCATCGTAACACTGTTTCTTTTAGTTAGCAAATAATTGCTAGAAGTATCAGTTTTAGTTTACAGTAAGTATTAAAATACGAAAGTGAAATTTAACTGCAAATATAACAATCCAGTGTAATTATTATAACTGCTACAAATTAATAACAAAAGTTTAGCATATATAACGTTTTAGTATATCTATAAATGTAATAAAAATCTCATTTTTAGTGAATCAATGAACTTTATTTTTGTATCATATTTTAATTATTCTGATAAGTGAACTTCCTTGGGCTACATAAATAAAGTCCTCATTGAATGTATCTAACGTCTGGGAACAACCAGTTACTTATGTTTAAAAATCTAGCTGGAAGTTTTCTTCCTTGGAATAAAGTCTTAGTGATCAGGTGAATAGATGCTCAAATACTTTGACTAGTCCAAGTTACACGGTGGAGACAAGACACCGAGAGAGCTGGGTATAGGTACAAGTTTTGCCACACACACACTATATTTATAAAGTATTAATAGTTGCACATTGTAAGTTTTAAATTTTGTATTCTTTCAAAATCTTGAATCCTACCAGTAATACTTTTTTTTAAAATCCCATTTGAATCTTGCTGAATAAGAAAATTGGGTATATTAGAATAAACATAAGCTTTCTTGAATATGAAATTAAAATGTTGTAATGGTATTGGGAGATTGGTGTATTGTTGCTAGTAATAGGTAGAATTATAAACCTTAAATGCTTGATATCCTGCAAGTACTACAACAGTAAACTCGGTTTGAATGTAAACAATATAAGTATCCTACTTTGTACCTTGCTTTAGAAATTAGAGTAATCCTATCAGTATCACACAGTCATTTTCCCACATCTATATTCAAAGTGTTCATTAAACAAACATATTATAAAACCACTACCCTGTTCCATTTCCTATGCAAGGCCATGATTGACTATGAAATGGTGCTGTTATGTAATTTTTTTAATTCCTTTTAGGTGAAGATGGCATAACTAGTCACATTAAAATTTGTATCATTTTAAGAATTGGTATAATTCATTATGAAACTGTAATTTTTGCACATTGAAATATGTTTTCATTTGATAAGTTAGTGTAACAAATTTCAGGGTCGATTTCATTCATCAAAAACAATCTAATAACACCCAGTGTTTGAGTCGAGGAGACATTTTTTGGTGAATTGATTCTCTCTCTCCCTCTCTCTCTCTCTCTCTCTCTATATATATATATATATATATATATA